GAGTCTAATTTTGAGGCGTTGCGCGCGGGAAAGCGTTTATTTTGTAAATTGTGCGCCACTGAAACACAATCTTTAAGGGAATTTAAAGTGTGATAAATTTGAACAGCGTAATATGAAGCACGTCTGCTATTGGGAATTCGAGAACAGAGTCACGTCATACTACATGGCTTTATATTATCGTAATGTGACAGACTAAAGTCTTAACTGACATCTTCGATTAACATACTAGACAATTTTCCTCACTTCCCCCTCACCGTTACAGCAATGCGGGATCAAAAATATTAAAAAAAAAACATTATTTAAGTTACAATGCTACATATTCAGTCGCAACCGACCCGTGCACACTGAGCACAACCTGTGAAATTAGCTTATTGGGAAACTGAACTATTCTTGCATTATGGTCTTGTAACTCACATTATATTAATTACCTTACATATTTACGCATTTTTGCAATTACTTTTATTACCAAGAAAATATTATTTAGAATAATATTTCTTCAAATATAATGTAGATATACGGGGAATGACATATATATGCGAGAACTCGAGATTTTGACATTATAGGCTTCCATGTAGTTGTTCTGTTAGCTACGAACTAATCATTAAGTTCAAACATGTTTACAATTTACGATTTAGGATAAATAACTATCATGTGGTGCGAAACTTGCAATATTCTGAATATTTAATAAAAAATACAAGACGTTTCTGTTTATCTAGTTGAATTTGGTCCCTAAGATGAATAGATTTCCTTCAGTTAGCTAATAAACAATTCTTCAGCGATCACTGACATATTATACTATTGCCGGCGCGCGGATGCGGGTGGGGTCAGACGGACCCACTTTATATGTCTCTGGCAACCTTGTAACTAAAGTGATTGATGGAGTAAAATGAAACAGCAGCAAATACCAGTAGACTGAATTATGTATTGTCCATAAACACGCAACTTAGCAAGTTGAACAATGGTCAAGACAACTGATAGACAGCTCAGATGGTTAGGTATAGCCTAGGGTGGATATTGAAGGGTAAGCTATGCTATAGCTTAGATGCAAACCAAGAAGTGAGGTACTGAATAAACTACTATTTAAATTAGGGAGCATGAGATGGGCCAGCAGTAACTGTTGGAGAAAATAATAACCCTAATTAATACATTGACTAGGGAGGCTGACTTCCGTTATAAGTAATGAAATTTAGTAAATTACAAATAATAATCAGCACGCAATATTCATAAATTTAGTTAAGTAGTAAACAAATAAGCAAAGAGAATCGAGAGGATATGTTACACATTTGCAGTAAGTTAGGTATGCAGCTAACCATAGTGAAAATAAATAAACTATCCTAGAATAACATGAATAAACCTTTATCCATGAGAACATTAAAGTGGTGTGACTAACTCTGAGTACAATAGTAACAATTCAAATTGCAGTAAACCGGCAATAAATAAAGTCAGTTTATCACAGAAGTTGGCTTGATAGATGAAGCATTACTACAAAGAAACTCGTTACAAATTATTGTATCCACTGTTCACTAAATTTAAATCTTGCTAATAAAAATCCTATCCAAGCACTTACCCAAGCACTTAGCTCTTCTTAGCACCAGCCACCAGTATAAAGTGGCCCGCTTGGTGGAAGACAACGCGGAACTCGGGTCCTAAACCCCGGATCATCTTAATATGAAATTACATGCTACAGATTTGATTTGTTGCGAACGTGTCATGGTAACCTCGGGTTACAATACAGCATATTCAAAGTCGCAAGGGAGTTCAGGTGCACTGTGAAAGTGGTTAAGTTGGTATTCACGTAAGGACGCTGGAAATATTGCTGGCTATGCGCATATTGTCCTGAGAGCGCCGTTGATGTCCCGGCACTCGTCGCGCGTGAAGCAATTTGGTGCACATCTTAAACTGGCCGTCATGAAGGAGGTTGTAAACGAAACAGGTACGTTCTCATTTATCAAGAGATTATCGTTCATAAACAAGCTTTGAAGTTGTAGAGATAATTTGTCCAGCCCGTCGTAGAACTGTATTGAAGTAGAACGCAGCAAGCCCACCATTACTGGTTGATGTTGGCTGGGTTATCCGCAACCTTCCTCTGACGTCTAGACTGTTGATGTCAATTGGGAATTATGATATTGCTCTTCATATGGAATCGCTTTCGTTTTAAATGAAATCTGCTAAGGATACACGACGGTTTCGTGTTTGCAAAATTTCCAGTTTACTTCTCAGAAAAAAAATCATTCACTTCCTGATCAAACAATTTGAAATTATGAACAATTAAACAGCATATTTAATATATGTGAAAGAATTGGTAATGATAGCAGCGTGGTTGGACTACCTTTAATGTCTTCTTCCTGTCGATGATTTGTTTGCACTAAGTGGCCTAACATCTCGCGTAAGCCTAGACAGTCTATTTCCAGACTTTGCTACCGCCTGAGAATCATCCGGTTATTCTACATTTTTAGGTAATGCAGCTTTTCCACTTAAATGATGACTGGTCTGTGAATACCGAATACCAAATTCAGCCTGGATACCGAATTTGCACGGCCTGTGGATACCGATATTGACGTGCAAATATTATAATAAAAATAGATAACTCAATAACACAGCATTCGAAGACAGCGCTTAATATATGAATATATGGAAGATTTATATTCAAAATGTATTAAGTTGCATTGGTTAATTAATAACGACGTTAAAGGCGATGATATCGAAAATAATAACAAATCGTAATTGATGGGTGACTAAAATAAACTATATGATGCTGACAACTTTTCAGGAGTATGAGTTGCGGGAGTAGCTGGAGTAAACATACAGTATATACATGGTCTCTATATACTGTATGTGAAGAGCGTATAATTGCGAATCCAAAATAAACACGAGCACCAGCGGATACCTAATAGCTAGATGAGTCCTATTCGACACTGACTGCCCCTCCTGAAGAATTAACAACAATACTCAGAAGCTTTCGCCTTGCCGACAATAATCGGTTGCTTAAGGTCGCACTTCCTAACTTTCATCTCCCCAGCAAATGGGAATAATTTCAAGATACGATTTAAAAACTCTAGTGTCGTCAATATTTCTTGATTTATATATTATATCGGTTAAAGAGGTTCAATATAATGTATAATATTCAGCTCGGTGGCAGCAGGGAGAACTCGTCCTGACAGCGCCGTTGTTGTCCCAGCCGTCGTCCCGCGTGAATCAGTTTAGTGCGCAACGAAAAGGTTATTAAACTTAACCAAGTTATTGAGATGCAGAGATAATTTATACAGCCCTCATATAAAAGGTTATTAAACTTAACCAAGTTATTGAGAAGAATGACTTTATAAATATCTGAACCGTCGCTGAAACATGCGCCTCAGAAAGTTACATTGCTTTGTGCGTTGTCATTACATTCGCATTTCATAAAAATTTCCATGGATTGATTTCCTCTCAGTTTCTTAGCGTAAACAATTATTCTGACAACAAAAGTGCTTCAGAATTGCCTCGCAAGTTTCTCATATGTGCACAAGATGAGTGCATACATATATGAGAAATCCGGTACACGTATTCATTAGGACCTAACGGTGATGTTTAGCTCGTGAAAATTTCTTTCAATCTCATCTTCATTAATATATTATATAAATTATATAGCGATATGGGCCGAAATTCACAATGATCAAGAAATTTCTCAAAATTTCTAAACATATTTGAACGAAATTTCGAATAAATATGTCTAACCACCTAACAGTGATGTTAAGCTCGTGAAAATATTTCCGATTTTGCATTTGTTTGTGAGTTATGTAGCTATACAGAGAAACGACAGGCATTTCCGACCTTCGTTCAAAATAATGAACATAGCTCAATGGAAATTTACACACGTATTCATTATGACCGAATGGTGATGCTTAGCTAGTGAAATATTTTTTATTTCTATTTCATTCGCGAGTCATACGTCTATACGTTAAAATATCCCTTATTAACCGTATGAATGAACATTCATATTATTACCTATAACTTTATTGCAGGTAATTCAAGTGCAAATTACGGTGTTTCACTTCTATACTTTTTACCAGCCGCAATAACATTATTTATTATTAATAAATGGTTAATTTGCAAATAGTAGCTATTGAATTTTTTTCGTTAGGCAGCGCCGCAACGGACACATTGAACTTTGTCTCATATCTGTACCTGTGATCGCTCTGTTTGCTGCTGGTATCCTTGTAACCGCGATTATTTAAAAGCTTTTTCTCTGACAAGTAACAGGCTTACATTCGTGGGCGGTGGGAATGAAGTGGCAGGTGGCTGATAGAATAGCAAACCTCGCACATGAAAATGATCGCTCTGTCGGATCCAGTTTGTGCTTTGAGGAGTGGCTCTGTCTGTTAAAGAACAAATTCTTGAAATATTGGTCACTCTGGTGGTCAGAGGAAGTGCAGTCTTCAGGGAAGTGAACCTTCAGACTGGGCTTGGGAGAGACAGTAAATCATGTGGACTATGGACCACTACCTCGCTCAGTTGAGCCTTGAATGTGCTGTGGCTGGTCTGCGGCTTGGTCATGCTGGTGTGAAAGCCCACTTGGCCCGCTTCAATTTGGCCAATTCCGGCATCTGCCCAGTGCCCCACATGCAACACTCAACACAGAAGACACAATTGAGCATATCATTTTGCTCTGTTCACTATACCTACATCAATCAGAGGAGGGAGTTTCGCTCAAATCTGGAGAACCTTTCACTCCCTTGGAACCTCATCAGTCATCACAGCTCTGGGAGGGGGTGATATTCCCCAAAAAAGGAGAACTGCGATCATTCATTGCCTGGGAGGCTGGGACAATACCTGCTAAAATGCAGCATGGTGTACACCCTATGAAAATTATCAGTGCCTAATTCCTTTGTTATTTTCTTCCACACAAAAACCTCTTTGTGAGAGCATGAAGAAAAATTCAAAATGAAGTGAAGAGGCAGTTGAGTTGGAGTTTTCAAGAAAAATCAAGTTGTGCTCAGGCTGGGAGGTGTGACTGTTTCACACCCGAAGTCTTAAAATCAAATTAAAAAAAAAAAAGTAACAGGCTTGCCGGCTGGCAGGTGCTTCGGATGCCTCATGTCTTAAAACCTGTTATAAAAACATTTCATGCTGTTTACAATCCATATCAAGGAATTCTAGTAAGTTGTAACTATATTATGGTGTAATTTGAACATCTGTTAGCTAATATTATTGGGAATCAATTTTATCAGTGAGGTTGATCATTGTAAGTAAATCACAGGATTAAATTGTAAAATGTTAAACAGGTCTAACTTTTGTGTGTTGCAAACTTAGAATTATAAACTCATTCTGATTCTTCTTTTGATTAATATCATATAATTGTGCTTGTACATGGGGACAGTACTGATGGCAAGTATATCCGACAAATGCCAAATGTCTGCCGCTTGAGATGGAGTCTATCCCGCAAGTAAGCTTAGACTCGAGGCAAGTTTACTTGCGCCTTGCAGGATAGACACCAAGCGGCAGACTGTTCCGCAGACATTTGGCAAATTGGCATTTGTCAGATCTACTTGCTACCAGTATCGTACCCGTCACCCGTGTACGGGCACCTTTAAACTCCAACTCCAATCACAGGTCACGGGTCCATCACGCACTGCATCATGAATGATATCATCGCACCAGAAAGTAAAAACCTTACTGTGTGCGCTTGCGGTCTTCCAGATTTCCAATAATTTCTAAGTAATTTCTAAAATGCAATAATTTAAATCCCAATATGTTAGCAAGATCTTCTGAAGGTGTAAATCTTGCTGCTGATAGCCTGATGCATCACCAATAATCTTTTGATATTCACTCACTCTGCACCCTTGCAGTATACTTCAACGCTCCTGCCTCCTGCCAAAATATCCTGCAGAATGTAATGAAAACAAGTTGCCCCAAAATGTTTTGTTGAAGATTGCATAGTTGTGGACCTTGTGGTCACATCATGTCATTCATGTGTTTAATTACCAGTTTACCACTAATGTAAAGACAAATGTAAAATGTTACTGTTGCCATTTGATTTTTTAAGGTAAAATTATATATTTAGGATAACACATGCACCAGACTCTGTAAATAGTTTTGTAGCTTGTAAATGGCTCCTCATGGCAAAGAAATGGAATTCATGGCTTGAAGAAATATAATCATACTATTATTATTTATCAGGGCAGGCAAATCCAAAAAATCCAGTTGCAGCTCACCAAGTAGATATATTCCATGCCTGCAGTAGGTACTGTCAAATGGGGGTAATAAGGGATGGGCAGGGTAAATTGGGACTGTCCTCCAAAATTTAGAAGAACTGTTGTAGCAGCTAAACTAATTGAAAACTTACAAAACTAAAAAAAGCATAAAGTTCAATATTTTTACTATCTCTGTAGCATAAAGCTAGTTAAGAAATTATACATTTACTACCTCTACAAATCCATGAAAAAAGGTGTCAAAAGTGAGATTTTGGAAGAGTAACTTTGCTATGGTCTGTGGCCAAAAAAATTTGCCATATTAGAAAATTTTATTTATTTAAAAGTTGCATAAAGGTGTAGGCTTGAAAATGTGACTGATGAAATTAGTGTAACTTGTCCCCCCCAAAAATGACAGCATTTTTGCAAGACGGGGTAATAAGAGACACCTATCTCACCCCTTAGGCCTTGGGGTAATAAGGGACACCCCTAAAAACCAATTTAAAGTAGAACTTTGGTTAGAAAAAAAATCATTTCATTCCAAAAAAATGGCAGCCATTTCCGCACAGTGGGGCTACTAGGGACACCCCCCCGGGATAATTAGGGACACCCTTAACACTTTGACTGCGACTCGCAAAATAGCCTGTATTCCTGTGGTGCAACTCATTCAAACTTGAATAACTTAAGTTACAGACAAGGCTGCAAGATCAGGGCTAGTGCGCTACTCTTGTCTGAGCGAGTTCTACAAGCTTCTGACATAAAAACCGTGAGCCTCTATTGGTGCATGTCGCCTGGGATGGAAACTTTCATCTTTCTAGGCAACGTGCGCCATATGAGGTACATGGCATTTAATATTCAATTACAATAAAAAATTTGCATCACATGGCTACTAACGCTTGAAAAAACATTTTCTGTGCAAATGAAATCGGATTGTGACTGCAATAAACAAACTACAAATCATTCTGGGGTAAAATGCTGCTAAATGGGAAGTTTATAATTCATTTAGATGATGACTTACAAAACTGCGCTAAGCAAAGTATGGAGTGGTACCGACAACTGTTCAAGTTATTGGCAAAAACTGTAGCAAATGCCTAGGTGCTTGGTGATCAGTTCTATAGTCAGTAAAAATCGATGTGAATTGCTGAAGTCGTTGAAGATTACTGAATGTATTTTCACTAGTAATAGGTCAGACACGTGAAGAAATGTTTCTATNAATATGTATATAGACTGTCTCTTATACACATCTAGATGTGTATAAGAGACCCTTATTACCCTGTTTGATGGGATGACTCACACTCCCTTGTACAAAATGTGTAGAACTTTTAAGAAAAGGAACCCGGCAAAAAAAATACTGCCAGACTTCAATCTAAATTAGGCCAACCTGAAAGATTCTATATGTTACAAAAAACATTTACATTAATTTTTCTCCGTAATTTTTTAATTGCTTATATTCAAGCTAGTAAATTTTTTTCTAGATACAAATATAGAGAAGTTCTGAGGCAGTGAATAAGAAAAATGTTATGAATATCATATTAGAACTAAATTATTATCTGTATATTTTTTTAGAATATTTTCTTTTTAAAACTTAGATCCTGGTTGAGAGTAGAATGGTGGTCTTTTCTTTTGCTAAGCAGTACTGAGCAACATTGTAGTAGAATTCCGCCCTGACTAATTATCAATGGAAGGGTAAAATCTTGGCCTGTTTTCTGGTTAACTTGGAAAAGAAATGAACAATTGTATTGATTTTTTCATATTCCATTAATACACCGGTATTCACATATTTTGTATCATTTTCACTTATTGAGAGACACAATTTTTATTAAGTTGTGCTGGTTCACTGATTTGTTTCTGAACCAAAAGCCACTTTCTACAAATATCTCTGTGGGTCTAGAAGTTCAATAAACCAACACAACTTCTTCTAGCTTCAAGCTTTTTTACTGATTGTGGTACTGTTTTCCTTTGAATATTTATGATATGAACCATGTAGCAACCAATTTCAAATCTGAATAAACATTGAATGAACTTCTTTAATAGGCTCATAATTTTATTGATCATTTTCTTAATTATCTTATGAATTTATAGTAGAAATATATATAATTTTATTTTTTATTCATCTCTTACAGAATAGCTCCCTTCTCCTCCTCATCAACCTTGGGGAGGCCACTGCTGGCCACCTTCTGAACATCCCCGTCAGCTGCCCAAGGTTCTATTGCTGAAAACTTCTTGTGCATTTTTCTGACATTGCTAAATTCTAAAAATATTTGCAAATAATTTTGCTGTCAATTCTGCTGCCAAAAGAAATTTCTGCTGGCTTAACTTGACCTTCCTAAAGGTTCCTACCAAAAACCTGGTCATCATGCTTGCACCTTCAGTCTTCCCACTCAGTAGATTGGTTGGCAGCATTTTATTGCCGGTGAGAAATTATGCGGCCAAGCCAGCCCCTGCTAAAATTGTCTACATGTGTAAAGCCTGCAATAAGAAACAACAGAAACAAGAGAGCCGAGTGGCATTTGTGAAGAACACAGTCATTGTTCAGTGTGTGGGATGCAGTAACATTGATGATGACCTTAGATGGCTGTCAAACAACAACAGCAAAGCTGAAATTGATGAAATTATTAAACAAAACGGCATTAGGGTTAGTGGAGGACCAAGAATTAGATAAATCCTATTCAGCCATTTCTGAAGGTTCCAGTCAAATATCTTTCATGTTTGTAATGGTGATGGTTATTTGACACATTGAATTTAGGGCAATTAATTTCACTATTTTCACAATTGCTTTTATTTCACAATTTAGTGCCAGTGAAATGGTTACTTCTGCCTGTATTTAGTCTGTGAATAAATTGTGCTGAAAATCATGACATACTTGTGTTTAACTCTTAACCTTGTCACTATTATCAATGATTCTGGTGCTCAAACCTTTGCCTACTTTGAAAAATTGAGGTTATGAAGTTAGTGGATTATCTAAAAAATATATTTTTTCAATGGAGCCCAAAATCTTATTTTGAAATGTGTAAAGAAATATGTGCATTAAGTTTTTGACTTCTGAGAAAGTTTTTCATGACGTTCATCTAATTTTTTGCCACTAGGATAGTTCTATTAAAATAGTATCATAACTCACCATGCCAACTAATGAACTAGATTTTTTTTATTGACAGTTATTGACATTTTCAAACAATTTTCAATTCTAACTTTACACAAAGGTAACATAACAAACCTTGGATACATGTACCATTTTCTAGCCATGACATTGAATGGAACCTTCAATCAGTCATAGCAACGGACACCGCTAGAACAGCAGCTTGTGTTGGAACTGCAGGGTGGAATTCAGGAGGTGTGATGTGTAAACAAATGCACATGTTATATTGTACCTAAAAATCTGAAAGTAAATTCTTCCTGCTCTATTTAGCTGATATTTTGGAACTTATAAAGTTACCTGGATGAATCTATCATCAAAATATGAGCCATTAGAATTCCACCCTGGTTTGAAGTACAAACTTTGTGTCTCAGGGGAGGCAATACAATGCCTGAAGGGAAGGTCAGCACTCCCTGGGTCCCCAGCTGAATAGCACACTAGGTTTGTTTCAACAAATAAAAATGAATGAACCTAGAGCATGTTACGGCTAGTAACCACCATATGTTTCCGAAACCATTTGCATGTTTGTTAACTAATTCATTTATATGAAGCTTCAGGTTCTCAAGGAATAGGTGCTGACTAACATTCATTTTTCATATGTATGAAATATTTGTTCAATCCTTCTATATTTTATTGATTAACTAGTAATTTTTGGTATAAGTTTAGGTGCCTTTCATATTTTTGAATCAAACAACCATTATTAATTTTACTTGCTATGCAGCAGTAGCACTATTATCATATTAAATTTTTTGAAAAGACTTAGAATGAACTCTGGCAAAGTCTGAGAAATGAAGAATTATTATTTTTTAGCAAAATCCTTTAATGTTGAAGATGCACTGCAGTTGTTATCTTTAGTCAAGTTTCTATATTAGAAGATTTTTTGCACAGCAATTGTTATTTTCTTAGCATGCATTTTTCTTTCTTTTGTCTTGTTTCCTCCTTGGTTTTTGGCCTAAAGCTTGAAAAATATTTACTGAAATCTGCAATTTTGTTTGTTACATGTGAATCTCAAACCTGATTAGTTTTATTTACAGAAGCGCACTTATGCTTAAAATCTTCTTAAACTTTAGACTTTTGTCAATTGTGATGAGCTGCTGCTAAGAACATTAGTCTTCAAAGTGCTCCATAAGTTATAAACTTTGATCTTAATTTGTTTTTTTTGGTGAAGTCAGATAGTTACCGGTATGTCTTGATTCTAAACCTCTTATATTTTTGACAAGATTAAAGCCATTGACTCTCCGCCATGCTCCATGAAGCTGCCGTCGTGGACTGCACTCGGACTTGTGATGTATTGCCTGATGATGTTTGGCTTGAAATATTTTCATACTTGTCACCTAAGGAGCTGAGTGTTTCAGTGCTGCCTGTGTGTCATAGGTGGAACAACCTCGGCCATCACTCATCATTGTGGAAGAAAATAGAGTTTGGAACGTATGTAGCTGAAAAACTTAATATGTATATAGATTTAGTGAAACGTCATCATAATATACAGTCTATAGAATGTTTTGACTGTCAAAAGGAGTTCATAGAACATGTGGTGACACTTTGTCCTAATTTAATTCACTTGAGTTTACCTCACGCTACTGTCACAAAGTATACCATGAAAGCTCTTGTCAAATGCTGTCCTCGGATTATGTCTTTGGACTTGAGTGCTAATGAGGTTATTCGATCACGCGACACTTTCCTGCCAATCTTCTCACTTCATCAGCTCCAAACTCTGAAGCTTAACAGCTGCAAATGGGTCACTTCCTCCTTTGTTTCCAGACTGGTTACATCTTGTAAGGGTTTGCAATGCCTTCATTTGGAATGTGTCTTTTTACCATGTGAAACTGTTGCATATGTTCTCCATTGCCTCAGCACAAGTCTCAGAGAGCTGTCAGTAAAGTGTGAAAAATTGGACTGGGAAGTCAAGGAACTATTGCATGAATGTAGACAACTTCAAAGCCTAAAGATTGAGGTATTACTTGGTCCTATAAACATTCACTTCTCCCATGCTTGTGACCATCTCAAAAATCTCAAAGAACTAACATTGAATTCATGTTCTGAACGGATGTTGGAGGTCCCAAGTCGTGTGTTTCTTGGTTCAACTTTTCCTTCAGTGACCCACCTCTTCATCCGTCAAGCATCGGGTAATGACGCCCTTGCAGATGACATCATCTCTTCATTTCCAAGCTTAGAAACCCTGACTTTGGTTGATTGCTGCACACTGACAGACATGGGAGTCACCAAAATTCTGAGATGCTGCCACAAACTTATTGACTTGAGGATCTACTTATGTCAGCTGATCTCAAAAAACTGCTTCACACAGCCACTCAATACTGGGCAAGGACGCAGCCATCTTGTTAGAGTCCAACATCTGTACCCCAAGTGCCCGAGGGTTGACAGCTCTTATGAATTAGGCAGCATCCAGTCAGATTTTCATGATGTTCATGTCACAAGATGAAGACTGGTTCTCAGGGTATCCTATAACTTGTTACTAATATTACTTTATGTCTATCACCAATCTAGAATAAACATAAATATGGTCTTGTAATTACATGAAGATTTAAATTAATGTTATAAGAAGTAACAGCAGAACAGCCAACTGAATTATGGTGGCAACATCAAAATATTTCTATAAAATGCTAGCTGTTTGATTTGGTTAGAAGTTGTTATTAATGTTTCTTATCTTGAAGATGAGAAATGTTTTCATATTGAAGGGATCAAAGACAGATTTCTATGTGAATCAAGGAAAGCGGCTTCATTGTGTAATGATTTAATTTGTTTCATATTGATCTTATGTTTATTATTGATATTGAAGATGATGTAAATCATGTAATGCAACTTGGGTGGAGATGAATCACCTGACTGACATAAATGAATAAGTTATGCTACTTTGACTACCAACTCTTACATTTTATGTACTAAATTTCACCTAGGATAAACTTAATACTGCATTTGATTTTAAAATCTTGAAAGGACATTGACATTAATAATTTCACTATTCCATATTTAGATAAAATGACTGGCCTGTGTCAGGCCAATGGCTGCTGCCTGTACTCAGAGAACTCAACGAGGGCATGTCCAAATATTGATGCACATGTTATTGTTGCCTAGTGTGTCACTTTGTGCAGTATCACCCATTAATTTCTCTGAGTTCATAAAGCAGTCAGACGGTATAGAAGCCTCCAACTTCTCTGTCTTGTGTGTTATTTTTCCAATTGAATGCCATGTTATACATTTTTTTAAGCTTATCAAACTTTGTATGAAGTTGCGAGAAATTCTCAAAATGCTGAATTCTTCTTATTTAATATGTATACATCTTAATTGCATCAGTGTAATTAGACTCTTCATAGTTAACATAGCAAAGATGCAAAGATCCTAAGATAGTTGCTAGAAGTTAGACTTACTAGCTAAAAAAAATTATTCCTATTTTCATAGTCTACTTACTCCAAGTGTAGAATAAACCATAGTGTAGTACTTACTGTAAGTAGTACTTACTACATAGAGTACTTACTGCAAGTAGTACTTACTACATAGAGTACATACTGCTAGCACAATGGCATCACCAAGCATTGATGTGCTGCCTGCCAGCATTCTTATTGAAGTCTTTGGGTACCTCAGCCTGCGGGAACTGTGCACGAGTGTGTTGCCAGTCTGCCGTCAGTGGAACAAGCTTGGCAACCATTCATCCCTGTGGAGAGAAATTGATTTTGGTGACTACAGACATGAGAAGCTGGACCAATACGTATCTCTTGTTGCAAGACATCCTCTGGTACAGACGATTATCTGCCACCAGGCCAGCAACGAGTTCCTGCTGCGAGTCTCCAGCCGCTGTCCTCAACTAAAGAGGCTTGTTGTACCTCAAGAAGGATGTCTGTCTCCAAAAACCTTCAAGATTGTCGAAAAAAATTGTACCAAATTAACTCGTTGGCATTGAATTTTGCCTTTTTTTTGCTTTATAATGACATAATTTATCTATCTATAGGATTTATTTATATACGTACTGAAATTTCTGGTATATTCACCATTGTCATAAAGGATGCAGTATTATTGGATGCAGATCATCATTCATTATTTGAAAATATTTTGTTATCTTTTGATCATGATGCATTTTTCAAAATTATATCCCATCTAAAAGTCATGTTAAATAATTCCTTTGATTGATAGATTGGAATTTAAAATCCCATAAAAATGTAGCTGGCATTCAACATACATTGTAATGACTCATCATACTGCCTAATTGTTATCCTTTATAGTTATATTATGTGCTGAACAACCACTTTCATTGTTTCATGTTAATGCAAGAAGGTGTTTTATTTTGTATTCTTCACCTATGAAAAAAAATTATAATTGCAATTATTTTTCTTTGATATGAAAACTCAATGAAGCATTCAAACCACTTACTTACATTATTTTTATTACTATTTTCATATTTTTGATGAACAAAAATTAAATATATTTTCAATTGGCATGAACAAATATTGAGTTGGATGTATCTCAAATGTTATGCAAGCTTGGCTTAATTCCATGCACCAAATAATAAATTTCTATTTGCTGTATACATTTTTCATGAGTATACAGAAAACATACCAGAGTAGTTATTCTCAACAAAAATATAGGTTTGCATAATCTATGAGAATCAGTCTGAGATTATATGCAATCTTGTAAAGAACGTAGGGACCTCCATAATGGACAAGTTGTCAATATGAGAATGGATTAAAAGTATACAAATAATTTGTGTTTGATCCTCATGCCTGAAGGTGATGTCCCTGGGCAGTGCCTCTCTTGTAGGAGGCGCTGAAGGGAGCTTAGCCGCCCCTGGAATCCCAGAGCTAAATAAAATATGTTTAAATTTTTAAATTTTATTTTAAATTATTACTGATACTCAATTTGATCTAAAATTTATAGTCACACTTTGATACAAGAATTATTTCTTGTATATACCTGAATCCCAGAACTAAATAAAATTGTTTGGTGTTATCACAGAAATGTTTTAATTTATGCATAAACAATTGCCTCTTTAGTCACCAGCTTCTTGATTCATCTAAATAGTATAGAGTTAATGCTGATGGTAGAGACAATGTAGACCCTTGAGATTATTTAGCCCTACTTGAACATAACTCATGACTAGACCATGTAGTGTTCAACAGCAGATTATGCTATGAACAAAAGCTTGTAATGTTGTCTTGCAAACCTAAATTTGGAGAAGCCATAAATGCTGAATAGTGCAAGAAAATGAATAGTGTAAGAAAATAAGTTGAATAGTGTAAATATTTTAAAGTGCAAGATAATTTACCATTGAAAAAGCCATAAATGTTGAACAATGCAAGAAAATATTGTAGCCAAAGCTCGCAGCTATGAATATTATCTTAATGCTATAGTTGGTTGATGATTAATAACATAGTGTAGTATGTATAGGGGCTTCAGCATTGATAAGGCCATGTTTGCCTGTTGCCCAGAACATCTTGCTCATTTTGACCTAGAATTTTCACAGTTAGCTGCAAGTTTTGAACCTCCAACTTGGTGGTCTGAAGCACTTGGCCACTCAGAGGCATATTGCTTGATCAATTAATGACATTTTTTGAACAGTTAATTTGAATTTCCAATTAGTGGAGTTCAGCAAGAATTCCTGAAAGACATTGTTGGAAAAATATATTATTGAATTTCTTTTTCTCAGTTTATAAATGAATCTAATTGTTTATAAATCATATTCATTATAGCTAACCAGAAGTATTCTCACAAGTATTGTCTAAAAAATTATAAATATTTTAAATATTAATATTTAATTTGTGTGGAAATCGACTGGCCTTAAGCCCAGCTAAAAAGTAAGTGATTGTATTGGTCAATGAATAATAATCTGTTGTAATTATTATTAATATGAATTGGTATAGTTATCTTTCTTCTTGACTAAATTCAAAGTAAGACAACATTTACTTTGAAATTCATTAAAATGTTTGGTACAAATCTTATTCAGTAGCAGCAATGGCAGCACAGAAGGCCACGCCAGTGAACGATCTCGCGAGGCTCCCCCCCGAGCTGCTGGAGTGCCTTGTCCTCATGCTCGACCTGCCCTCCATGGGAGCGCTGGCCTCAACCTGCAAGTTTCTCAATGAGTTCATCACAAGTGAAGAACTGCTCATCAAGCTGGTGAGTTGTTGACACACTGTTGCGGTCCGGTCAACAGGGGTTCACAAAAGCTATGTGAAGATTAACTCAATCACCCCAAGATGTAATACGCATATAAGCCTTTCCTCCAACCCTGAGAACAAATTTGGGCAATGAAACAAATTGTTCCCAAACAACAGTATACTTAGAACTAAGGACCTAAACTATAACAGCTGGTATTGGATCTTCCCCCAGGTATCAAAACATATCCTTCTCAGGTTGATTTAGGCCACCCTATGGGGAAAGTTTTGGTTATAGAAATATGGTACTTGGCTAGGACGATTTCACAGCACGACTGGTACAAATGATCTACAAACTACTGCATCGGAAAAGCACATCCCAGCCTATGACACCTGAGAACACCTATTAACACACCATATACCATCAGATACCTAACTAGACATGAGTTACAGTAGACACCGGTGATAAAGACAGAACTCTGTAGAGAGGAAATGGTGGCTATTAGCTTACTTTATGGGAGTAAGTGGTGCACCATCAGTACACATTACCTGATACACAAACCAATGACGTACTGCTTGAAGGCAATGTAGTGGTGGTCTTTAAGACTCCCCCCAAACACGCACAGGCAATCACCCCAGGCACACACACCCCTGGGTACTCACCCGTCTAGTAGCAGGGAAGCCAAGAGTCACTGACCAGTAGGGATACCAGTGGGAGCACCACCCAGAGAACCAGAAACCTCATGTGCACCGGAAAATCGCAGAATACTCACCATGTCCCCTAGTAAGCAAAATATGACACCAGGAATGGGACAGAACATAAGAGTTAAGGTTCCTAAACANTGTTGACACACTTACAGCAGTTGTTGACATTTTTGTGCTCACTCCTCATAGTGTTCCTGATGCTGAACATACAATGTGTACTGTATGTATGTGTGTGCATGCAATGTGTATTGTTTACATGTATTGTATTTATGACATTGTTCATTAAATACATCTGTTCAGGAGGGATAATGATATTTCTTCATAGCCCCTGACAGTTGTTGCTGAATTTGGTGCATGTAAAGTAAAAACAAAACTGTACTCTTTGAAAAATTCATTTATTTTCAGTTTATTTACTTTTAAAGAATTTAACAACAGTGATGATATTAATGATACTATAATCTATGCCATTGGTGATTAGTATTAATTTGAGTGTTAATCTGTTACTAGTTAGCCTAATTAGAGCTGTAGGGATTTTTTGAACTATGGTAGTTAATATATAATAATAAATAAATTTATATGTATTGAAATATATTAATAATTTAGTCTGCCTAGCCAAAATGATTTATTTATATCTTACAGCAATAGATCTCACTTGTATTTTCTCAGTCAAATTGAAAACCTTTTTCTGAACAGAACACAAATATCTTGATAATGATTAAATAAGTTTAGTTATTAAGTTATCTTTTATCTCAATCAATCAAAATATTTTATTCAAATTATGATATAACTTGCAAGTACAGCTACACAGCTACTCGTGGCTGTGCAGAATGCACAGAGTATTCATCTTATTAATATTAATAATTATTATAGGTATACTAATAATTATTATACTAATAATTATTACAAGCTACCCTTCATTCCTTATCTTGCCCTTTTCTTTCACCCATTTGCTTAATTCATCCATGTTCTTAATTCGTCTTTTATATTATCAGTCTGCTTAAATTGCAAGTTTACAAGGAATCTAAAAGCAAAAGAAACGCCAAGCAAATTCACAATATCAATATTGAAAACGTTTCAGAATCCTGCTCCATCATCAGCTTGAAAATCTAAAAAATGAATACAATCATTTTGTAATAAAAATTCTAAGTCAGACATTAAAACCTAAAAAGACATAAAACTTTGTGTCTTTTTTTGGTTTTAATCTCAGATTTAGAATTTTGAATTATAAAATGATTGCATTCATTTTTTACATTGTCATCTTAATGATGAAGCTGGACTCCAAAACTCCAAAACGTTTTCAATAGGTACCGACATTAATATTATATTATTAACTCCAAAACATTTTCAACATTAATATGGTGAATTTGCTTGTCTTTTTTAGCTCTAAATTCATCTATTTCCTTGATCCATTTATTCAGTATCTGATATAATTGTTGCCCTGACAGCTGCGCAGAGACCCTCAGATAAGCAGAGACGCAGCAGAGATGATCACAGAGCTGACCAGACCCTGGCGGTGGTGGGAGCGAGCGGCCATCTCTGCCACCAAGCCTATAGGTGAAGTTATTGTGGTAGTGAAGTATAATTAATTAATTAGGGTGATTAGTAGTATTTTACAATTAATAATAGTAATTATTAATTGTAATTACAGGGAGGAACCTCCTGCAGGGGGGCAGCGCTGAGCACCTCCCGGGGCACGAGGACGCCCCGCGGGGGCAACATGGCAGGGATGCGCTCCATGGTAGAGCTCGTAGATGTAGATGTGCAAAATTATATAAGCAGTGAGATTATTCATATTTATTAAATAAGCTCATTGTAGTTACTAATTCTAGTTAAACTAACTCATATTATTAATCAATTTAACTAATTGTAACTGCTAATGTTAATTAAACAAGCTCATTGTAACTCGTGGTGTTGATTAAAATAGTTAGTGTTGAATATGTCTATGCTAGACGCATTTCTTTTCTTCACATCAGTTTTATATTGTTAATTAAGTCAGTCATTAATTATTGTTAATTAAGGAGGCAGCGTTAAGTTCTCCTGCCTGGTCAGCTGTTGGGGCGAGACAAATTAAACAAAGTGAGACAAATAGTTAATAGTTAGTTTTAGTGAGACAAATTAAAACTATAATAATAATAGTTATATATAGGAAGTGAGGCAGGTTACTGAACAGTGTGGGGATTCCAGAGGAAGTCAACAGGGGCCGTGATATAACTCAGTACTCACGTGATATAGAAAAATATAACTCAGTACTCAATGCAGTGAATAACAGAGAGCACATTTTCTCGTCGACGAAAACTTGAGGTCACGGACAGACGGTCGGACTGACGGACATGGCGAGCACAATAGTGCATTTTTTCCATAAATGAGAAAATGCGCTAAAAAGTAACATGGACAGCCAATAACAGCATTTTCAAGATAAAGCTACCAATCACAGATCTTTTTTTCTGTTTATTAATGAATCTAATTGCCTAATAATAATGTTCATTAATTAATAATATAACTGCTGTGTGTACTTAATAAAGTTTTGATACATGGTATGGCTCCAGGACCTGTACCAGTGCAAGAAAATATCGAAAGTCATGTTTAAAGATAGATGTTAACATATATTATCCATATCATATAATATAATTGAAAGTATAATACATATAACTATAGAATGCAGATATTATTAATATATATATTGATAATAATTCCTCAATGGAGTTTGTGGCATCGCTATTTTGCAGTTTTGTTGGAGACAGGATTTTGTTACCCATCACTCATCTGGCTTCTCTTGCTATCAATTTAGTCAAATTTCTTCATATGATGTGACTGTAAAGAAAGATGCGTAAATTAGTAATGATATCTATGAACTATAGTTCGTAACTTGCAATAAGTTCATATACTTATTTGCAGCAAACTCCCTTATTCATGCATAGTCAGTTTTCTAATAAGATAGATGTTAACATATATTATCCATATCATATAATATAATTGAAAGCATAATACATATAACTATAGAATGCAGCTATTATTAATATATATTGATAAAAATTGCTCAATGGAGTTCGTTCTGTTGCTGTTTTGTTGGCGACAGGATTTTGTTACCCATCCAGCTTCTCTTGCAATCAATTTAGTCAAATTTCTTCATATGATGTGACCGTAAAGAAAGATGCGTAAATTGGTAATGATATTTATGAACTATAGTACGTAACTCACAATGAGCTCGTATACTTATTTGCAGCAAACTCCCTTATTCATGCGTACAGTCCGTCGTCTAGTAACAATGTCACATTCGTCACTAAAAACCCTACAATAATATTGGTCCAAACTACAATTTGTAAGGTTTGATTGCTATAAATTGAAAATAAATAAATTATATAAAAATTAAAATATATTAAAAACACTTGATAATTGAAAAGCTTATTTAATTGCGCTGGAAACTTGTGGCAAAGTTTTGCTGCAAAATAAATCGTTTTTTTAAGGCCACGACACACGCCGACCTGCAGACTCTTGCTCCAGTCTTGTACTGCCTCTCTACCGCCAGCCTACCGGCTTATATACCCGCAATCTGAGCCTTGATACGAAAACTTACCCTAAACTATAGTCTCCCCACGTGGTTTGTTGCTTACCCTAAACTATAGTCTCCCCACGTGGTTTGTTGCTTACCCTAAACTATAGTCTCCCCACGTGGTTTGTTACTTACCCTAAACTATAGTCTCCCCACGTGGTTTGTTTATCTTGCTTTTATATGAGATGTCAGCCAAAATATAAGTTGCCACTCCTGCTCTCAAATTGTTGTAACTCATGGTAACTCCTGGTACTAATTTAATCTCATGGTATTAAAGTAAGACATTACCTTTAAGTCATGGTGCCAAATATTTAATTTTTAAGAAACTCAAGTGTCTCTCGATTCCAGTCTTTCCAAGCTTAATTTAACTCTCATTATTGCACTTTTTATCTCCAGTTTATTCATCATTATTTGTACTAGTATTTATTATTAATTACTTGTTATAATATTATCACCTAATAAGTACACTTCAATGTGTACATCAACAAAAATTTAATTCAATATATTTGCCTTCAGCTGTTGTTCAGCCTGTCCTTAATTGTATCCCGAAAAAATCCCTTTCCCTACATGCGACTAAATTCTCCTTTCCTCCCAGAAAAAATCCCTTTTCCTCTCAGAAAAAAATCCCCTTTCCTCTCAGAAAAAAATCCCCTTTTCTCTCAGAAAAAATCCCCTTTTCTCTCAGAAAAAAATCCCCTTTCCTCTCAGAAAAAATCCCCTTTCCTCTTAGAAAAAAATCCCTTTTCCTCTCAGAAAAAATCCCTTTTCCTCTCAGAAAAAATCCCCTTTCCTCTCAGAAAAAATCCCTTTCCTATCAGAAAAAATCCCCTTTCCTCTCAGAAAAAATCCCCTTTCCTCCCAGAAATCCCCCACTGGGAGATATTGAACAACGGGGGCGACGGATGGCAGGTGGAGCGACCTCCTGTAGGGTGCGACCCCCTCCCTGATGACCCCCACATTGTGGGGGGTGGCTGCTACGTCACATCCTACGACAGCTGCTCCAAGGAGCAGGAGGTGGTCCTGGGGCAGGCCTGCGGGCTCCCCAACTTTGTCAGGGACATCCGACCCGTCATCAAAGTCTCTGAATGGTTAGTAATAATAATTTATCAAACTGCAATCTTTTCTTGTCAAACTACAATCTTTTCTTGTCAAACTACAATCTTTTCTTGTCAAACTGTAAACTTTTCTTGTCAAACTTCAAACTTCTTGTCAAACTTGTCAAATCTTTTCTTGTCAAACTTCATTTTTTTTTGTCATGCTGCAAACTTTTCTTGCCAAACTACAATCTTTCCTTGTCAAACTGTAAACTTTTCTCGTCACACTGCAAACATTTATTGTCAAATTGTACAAAGTTCTTGCCAAGTTCTTGCCAAAGGCTTGACAGCGCTTGTCCCGCAGGGTGGCAGGACGCCACGACTGCGACAGCTCCTACAGCCTGACGGTGCAGCTCCTCTCCTGCCGCAGGAAGAAGGTCGCTCAGTGGCACCACACCGTGGCCCTGGGGCCCTCACACACTGGCACCCAGTGGGTCAAGGTAAGGCTTGGTGGGCCTCCCACACTGGCACCCAGTGGGTCAACGTAGGACCCTATAGCATCCTATTATTTTGCATATTACATATCTAATGCAATAATTATTCAATTATATCAATAATTTATCAATATATCAGTATACTTATCAAATTATCAATATACTATCAATAATTGTTCAAATTTATTCTCTTCACTTATAACAATCAATTTAAATTGCTATGAAAGATCCACACTTGTGCATTTTGTATCATGCTTATTGTTCTTGTGTGTATTTTTTCGAATTGAATTTAGTTTCTACGGAATATGGTCAAAATAAAATATTTCAGGTGGAGCACGAGTTCCGGGACTACGGACGGAGCGTTTGTTCCGTCCGGTTCCGGCACGGCGGAAAGGACCAGCGATTCTGGNTCTTCGCTTATAACAATCAATTTAAATTGTTATTCAACATTCACACTTGTGCATTTGAGCATTTCATATCATGCTTATTATTCTTGAGTTTATTTTCAAAGTGAATTTAGTTTCAATGGAATATTAATTGAAATAAAACATTTCAGGTGGAGCACGAGTTCCGGGACTACGGACGGAGCGTTTGTTCCGTCCGGTTCCGGCACGGCGGAAAGGACCAGCGATTCTGGTCCGGGTGGTACGGACCGAAGATGACCGGTGCCCGGGTTGAGCTCTCTCTTCCGCCCAGTATTGATCATTCAAACAATGGTAATGATGATCAAACAGATGATAATGACGATCAAACAGATGATAATGATGATCAAACAGATGATAATGATTCAAGTGATGCTGGTGATGATGAAGAAGATGGAACTCCGCCCCCCCAGACAGGACCTGGATTGTTTCAGCCTCCGGGGTTCTTAAGAAATTTTTTGGGGATCTAGAACGCCTTGAGCCTCACATTCTTATATATTCCATAACATATTCGTTGTGTTTACTCCCTGTCTCTTATACACATCTAGATGTGTATAAGAGACAGTAATAAAGTTTTGATACATGGTATGGTTCCAGGACCTGTACCAGTGCAAGAAAATATTGAAAGTCATGTTTTAAAGATAGATTTTAACATAAATTATCCATATCATATAATATAATTAAAAGTATAACCCCTATAACTATAGAATGCAGCTATTATTAATATATATTGATAAAAATTGCTCAATGGAGTTCGTTCTGTTGCTGTTTTGTTGGCGACAGGATTTTGTTACCCATCCAGCTTCTCTTGCAATCAATTTAGNCTCGAAGTAAATACTTTAATTTTTAGTGAAAACTTTTAACGAAGAATGGCTTTCGGGAAATATATTGAATGTCGTTATATTAATGTGCTATGGTTGAGTGATTGACTATAATCTTCTTTGATTTTCGATTTGATATATAAATATATAATCAATTGATATTGAAAATTGCTAAATACCAATCAATATAATATGTATAATATAATTGTTTTCATTATTTAAGTCTTGTTGAAGTAAGTCAAAGTCATTTTGTGAAAAGCCATCATATTTATCTTTATCTGCAATACATTACGTATCTTCAGCTACGACGCCTAAAGTATCTTTATCTACACATTATCTTTTATCTCCACAAGATTCAATATGTTTTATTGAACTCGTTCTCTGCGCTATATTAATGCTGTGATATACAAATGACTGATAGAATAGTTCCTTGTTTACAACGCTATGTCATTTTTGCCATATAACATAACGGTAGCACCCAAAGTATATTGTATATGCAATAAATATAATGATTTAACTGATACCTTACTATTTTGACCTGCATACTGGACCACAGACTTGAAATGCAATTAATTCTCCACTATGAATTTTCCCCTTAATTTCTGTATTTTTCGTAGGTTCTTACGTAGCAGAGATCATTCTTGATTATCTTCGAGATCATTCTCCTACGTCAGGAAGACGTAGGATATCATTCTCCTACTTCCTACTCGTTTAATGCTGATAATGCTACCTTATTATTATTAATTTCCTATCGCAAGACTAAGAATAGATCGCGAGACTAGGAAAAGATTGCGAGACTAGAAGAGATATGACACTAAGAAGCGATCCAAGACTAGGTATAATTACGACCGAGACTAGGAAATAGACCCAAGCTTAGTTCTTGGTTAAGCATTTTAGTACAAAAACGTGCAATGTTCCTTATCGGCTATACTTCGAGGGTTTCAAAAAGCGCTAATTGATTTTTCTGATCCAAGATCCATCGCACGATGAACTCAGAAAACGTCTGGTGTTCTTCAATCTTCTACACACGGACAGAGGAGTACACTACAGTGGAGTACAGAGAGGGTGTAATTCATTTTCTACAGTTTTGATAAAACAATAGAATATTATAAATAATGAGTAACTTTAACAGATTGAAGTTTGATAAAAATATATTTTAAATTAACTGCTAAGGCGAGTAATCTTACTAATTCACTGGTACTGAGCATATCTGAAGTCCCGCTGCCAGTGCGGTCATGGTTGAAATATATAATAGCGGTTTCAGCGTTTAGTAGGCCGTAGGCCTGTCGCCGATTCTTAACATCGTAGAACATTCACAGCTTGTTGCGGTCTCGAACTCACAACTCACTGCTACAATTCTGCTGTGCTTAACCGCCCGGCCTCCTCGCCGATTCTGACCAGAAACTGGCGCACAGAGCTGGGATCGAACCCGCGCCTCTCTGCGCCAATC